CGACACGATATTTTTTTTTTTTTTTATTAAATGGCGTGACGTTTTGTTCTATTCACGTAAATAAAAAAAAATTTTTTCTTTTTGTCACGCGCGCGTTATGTCACACACACGCACACACACACACACATGATGCGAAAGAAATCATTTTACGAATAATTACGAATTATTATTATTATTTTTTTTAATTTTAAATTTAACGTGGAAAATAAAATGTCTTCGCAAAACAGACGAAACTCGTTAATTTGTTATAAGTATAATAATTATTACGTAATTAACACTATCGCGATATATAATTTTATTTATTTTTTTCCCGTATGTTTCGGATGTGAATGAGTTCCATAAGGTTTTCCGCCATTTTTTTTATTTAAAAGAGCCCCCCCCCCAAAAAAAAAAAAGTTTATTTCCTTAGATTTGATTATAATTATAAAATGTTGACCCTTACAAGTAAGAAATTGTTGTAGGCCGCTACTTAAGACTGGTTTAACTGTTAAAAATTATTTCTTAGAGAAATTTTTATTAAAAAAATTACGGTTTAAAAAAAAAAAAAAAAACTATATCGGGTATTTTTTTTTTTTTTTTTTTTACTTCGGTCGAATAAACAAGACGATTACGAAAAGAAAAAAAAACATTTTTTTTTGTGAACGAAAACGAACGAGTAGCCTAGTTTTGTTTTTTTTTTTTTATGTAATTGTTAATAAATAAATTTGAAATTTTGCGGGCTGGTAATTACTACTTAAATTAATAAATAGTATCACACACTTTATAACTATTTAGTTCAATTTTATTATTATTATTAAAAAACGATTTAATTACACGTTGGCAAATGAGGTTGCGGATTTGTACAAATGTACATACGTTGTTCGATGGGAAAAACTCAAAATGACAACAACAGTTATGGGGGGAAAGACAGGAAAATGATAGAAATAACTAGCGCGTAACTCGTACCTTTAAAATAAGCGTCTCGAGGAACGTAATAATAATAATGATAAAAATGACAAAACTTACCTGGCATCTTGTTTTTCATTGTCTGCCGTAACAAAATAAACCAATTGTACGCTCGGTACGTGTGTTATGATTCCATCTTCGCTAACCGTGGTACCTCCAAAATAAACCGGAAACGTGTGAGCATCCCACGTCACGGGATTAAACATTATCGGAAACGTTAAATTTAATTCTTTCGATTCAATGTCTTCCATTACGTAGTCTAAATTTAATATGTCATTTTGAAAACATTCGTTTATCCATTTGGCGCACACTTCGCGATATGTAAACGTTTCACCCTCGTATTCTGCTGTCGTGTTTTGTATCAATTCATCGAGTAGTCTTAATTCTTTCCATATTTCAACTCTCAACATGTCTCCCTTGTCCCTTGGAATGGCTATGATTCTTCCAAATCGTCCTGCAAATTTTCAAAGTTCAAAACTACTACTACTACTGCGGCTACAATGCCATCGGGTAT